AAGATTATAAATCTGAGTGGCAACATTATTGGTGATGGTGGAGCAGCAGCCTTAGCTATGCACTTCATCACAATCTCTCCCTGATAAAGATTGAGTTTGGCAGTAAACAGTATTGGTAGTCGACGGAGCAGTATCTCTATCACAAGCCCTTCATTCGAACTCTACCCTTCAGAGAACTGACTTATTCGATAACTGTATTGGTGATGAAGGAGCAATAGCCCTCGCTCAGTCTCTTCATCAGAACAATACTCTCCAGATCCTACACTTGTCAAGTAACCGTATTGGTGGTGATACACTGTATCTGCAGCATTTGGATTTGAGAAACATCGTTGGCATTGGTGAAAGAGTCGCTAGTGAATTTGTGCAGGCCCTGGCACAAAATTCGTCCATAAAACAAATCACTCTCTCAACGGTTTTAAGAAAATATTTTGTGAAATGTCCAAACTATAATGAAGTAGAGGAAAAACTTTAATTTTGTGTATTGATCCCAGTGTGAGGTGCAAGAAAACATGTGTGAGTTGATAATAAAAGAATAACTGATGGAAGGAGGGGTTTAAGTAAAGAGAAGATTACAATGCTTTGTAAAGGAACAGTTAAAGGTACTACATTATGTGTCGGAATACCAAAACACCAATTTTGAATTGTTTTTCGTTGAGTTTCAAAGTGTTTTAATCTTCATCAGCTATCTTTGAAACTAGACCTGCATATATATATATGTCATGTCCAAACTTCCCTACATTGAATCTACTTGAAATAGACTGTCATTCACAAATGGGGAGTATATTGATCTTCCGGTGTCTCTTTGTTCTTTCACAATTAATTCCATAACTCTGGAAGAAAAGGAGAGTCAAACTATTGCAGATTTTCTCTCTTCAACAACCTGTCTCAAGGAACTGAAATTGAATTTTTGCTCTGATAAAATGAAAATGGAGCCAATTCTTAGAGCAATGGCCACTAACAACTTATTGCCACTTGAAAGAGTAGATTTACAATGTAAGAGATGTCAAATAAATAAAAAAGCTGATGGATATTTGCTCGCATTTTAAAGAAAAGTACTGCACTGCAATACTTTTCAATGTTGTCTTCTTAAATTACTGCACATAAACTACAGAATTATTGCATTCTGTTAACCGTGATCCTACACTTCAAACAAGTTATGGAGCCGATGCGCGCCGAGGGTAATGTTTATTTCGAACGACTAGGAGTGAGTCAAGAGAAAGATATATTCACCATACCTGATCTATAATTATTATGAACAAAACAATGAATCCGCCCCTCATGATAACTCTGCCACTCCCAAGCTACCATTGTCTTATGATATTGCTACCAACTTAGCTCATGCCCTTTCCCACAACTGCTCTTGAGAATTTTATACCATCTGATCACAAATCCTGAGATGCTGAAACTGTTGCCGTGTTCCAGGCTTTCAAACGTGACTCCAACCCTGTGAAGTTTATTCTCTCACATTCATGGCTTGGATGTAACGGAAACTATAGCTCTAGCTCTGGCTCTCTCTCTCTCGCAGGTGTTCTCTACAGGAGTTGAACCTAACTGATGTTGATGATGATGGAGCTAAAGCACTATGCTGCATTGACAGCTTCAGGCTATACTTGAAAAAAGGTTGTTGGAAAACAGAAGTCAGTGAAGGAAGCTGCATGCAGACTAACTACAGATGATGATGTCAAAGCCTTGAGTCAAATATGCTCTTCGTATTTCGATTCAATGAGGACAGATTTTATTATATCTGTTGGAGGACTAACTGATGATGGTACAATTGTCCTGGCTGGAATTCTCCAACATAAGTATGAAATGGACTTCTCGGGTGTGAGTAATATTGGGGTCGTATCTTTGGCTAAGGCTCTCTATCACAATTCCACCATTTATGTACTGAAATTGTACAGCGAAATAGATGATAGTGGAGCAGTCTCTCTCTTTTAGACCTTCATCACAACTCTACACTCCGTGAATTGCAATTAGCCTTATATAATAGATGGTGATGAAGGAGCAACAGCCCTCTCTGAGTCTCTTCAGAACTCCACCCTTAAGATTATAGGTCTGGGGAGCAACAGTATTGGTGATAGTGGAGCAGCAGCCTTAGCTGAGGCACTTCATCACAAACCTCTTCCCTGATAAAGATTGATTTGGCACTAAACAGTATTGGTAGCAACGGCAGCAGTATCTCTATCACAAGCCCCTTGTAGAGTAACAACAGATGATGATGGCAAAGCCTTGAGTCAAATATGTTCTACATATTTCGATTCAAGGAGGACAGATATCTGTTGGAAGACTAACTGATGATGGTACAATTGTCCTGGCTGAAATTTTCCAGCACAAATACGAATCAAGAAACTGAATTGTTTGGGTATACAAGTAATGTTGGGGTCGTATCTTTGGCTCAGGCTCTCTATCATAATCATTCATACACTGAAAATGAGTGTAGGTGCCACTCTCCCTCTCAGACTTTTCATCACAACATTAGTTTGATTTAGACACAGTTATTGGTAATGAAAGAGCAATAGTCTCACTGAGACTCTACTATGCAGATCCTGAACTGGTCAACTAACAGTATTGGTGATGAGGGAGGAGTTGCCCTGGCTCGAGCTCTCCTTAAGAACCACTCTCTGCAGCAGTTTTCTTTGAGAGGCATCAGTGGCATTGGCAAAAGAGTTGCTAGTGAATTAGTGCAACCCCTAGCATCCATAAACGAAATGATTCTCTCTGGAGACATTAAGAAATATGCTATGAGATGTCCGAATTATTATGAAGTACATATAATTATAACAAACTAAAACTTGATCTTCTGTAGATATGATCTTAAAAGGCTAACCCTATGGAGCACACTACCTGGAGTTTGCTCTTTAATGTTAAGAAATGCAATGTTCTCTATTTTCCTCCTAGATGCTGCCATGCTCAATTCTTATACTCCTACCATCTGCACAACACTCAGCTATTGTTCCATAGTGACCCTGGTGTCGTGTTGTCTTCCGATCTCAAGTGGTCTGATATTATGAATATACAAAGGTCAAGGCATGCAAAGTTCTTGGATTACTTAGAAATGTACTTTCCTCTGCCCACGGGCTAAAAAGGTTCTCTGCATAACTTTGGTTCGTTTTTATACACTGCTTTACTGCTCACCCATCTGCTGTCCTCATCTTCCATTTACAACTTGCTCCTTGGAAGCAGAGAGTGCAAAATCGGGCCACCAAATTCATTCTCAACCACTACGTTTCCAACTATCGTCTCCTATGAAACATGTATCACTATTGATGGTCCTTTATATTCTGTTCTTCGTAAAGTGTTTGAAAGAGCCATCGCCCCATTTTAACATCTCAGTTTCATCACATTCTGTTCTGACCAAACTCCACCAGCCTTGCATTTCAAGTTGAGACACACTCTTCTCTTCATCTTGATCTCCCCCAACTTTGACACCTCTCTCATGTGAACTAATCTAAGTATGTTTGTTTTTTGTTCTGTTAGCTATGTGTCATTGGCTACTGGTGTATGACCTTCAGCACTACCATCCCGATATTTATACTACCTCTTGTATCATGTCTTCCTTCTGTGCTGTAAAGTCAAAATAGTATAATAATATATAACTGTCAAGGTTATTATAAGTTTTACCCCAGATTTGGAGTTATTGTCTTATGGAATGCCTATTGACTGTTGATAACATTCTTGGCTGGAGAATTTGCGGAAGAGAGGGCGAGACGGCGCGATTACGCAAAGCCCGAGTGCGCGACAACTTTCTCGCGTATATAGTCGATAGGCGACATGTAACACAGGCCTTTACTCAACTTGTCATCGTTGAATAACTAGTATATAAGCGAATACATTTTTGGCGAGCGGGAGCGAGCACACAATAACTGTATACGTATATCTGCACGAGCCATCCTAGCCTATTTACAAACTTGCATTTTGGAAGCACAAAGATTGGAAAGCCGTACAGCCTCGGCTAGTAGGCATCGAAGAACGCAGCGAATCCTGCCGAATGGCGAGAGTTCTCTCGCTGGCTAGATCGCGTAAGGCAGCGTGTATATAATAGTCTTGTTATCCAAAGAAGCAGAGAAGCAGCCGCTTCCGTTAACAGAAAAGCACCCAAAACAACACTTTCTAGAACTATAAAAGGCAGCCTGTGAAAATGACCTTCCCTGTCAGTAATAAATAGGTATGGCAGTTGTTTGAGGAATGCACATCCATCAATGAAAAATGTCATATCATCATAGCATGCAACCTTCTGGCATGATGTGAAAGGTAAAAGGGAACTTTGCTAGCCACATGATGCCAGAAGATGATCTAATACTCCTTACCACATCCTGGGTGTCTCTTGGTGACCACCCAGAATGACATAATTATCTGTTTCACCTATACAGTACAATACATGTACAGATACTGACATCCTGGGACTGCATGGCATGTTTTTGTGTGGGTTCTGCAGTGCCCACAGTTGTGCCAATGAATACCAGCGTGCCCTGGCAAGCACTATGCCAATCCCGAGCTGTTGCCTTGCAGCCTGTGGTACAGGAGAGGCTTTATAAGTACATTCCCCGCACACCAACACTGGCAGTTGAGGCAATATTATGTGTGTATGTCCTCCAGAGCCGGGTGCATACATATACAGCTGGTAGCCAGACTAATGCACAGTCAGTACTAAGCACACCTACAGAGGCACAGAACTGTTAGTTGACGATAGTGTGCAGTTGTGAATAGCTAAAGAGTAGCTAAAAAGAAGAAAGATTTTGTTGAGGTTGGCTGAGAATGGCAAGCCAGCAGTGGCTATTGATCCTTCTTTTCCTACCGGCCATATGGACACAAGGTAATGGATAGAGTTTAGCATTTTTTAAGCATAAGCTTATGGGCACACGTGGTGCAGTTTTTCTGTTTTAGATAAAAGGCCGTTAATTTATGGTAATTGCAGTCAAAAAGGATATTTAGCACTTGACCAATGCTGGCTAGCATCCACTTAGCATCAACACCTCAAAGAGATGCTGTTCTCTGCCATTGATGTTGTCTAACATACTTTATTTTTCACGTGTATTTCTCTGATAGGTCCCAAGATATCATTAGAGTCAGCACAGTACTCTGTAACAGAAGATGACGGTTCAATTGAGGTCTGTGCCTCTGTGAATGGAGGCTCCCTCTCATCTAGTGTAGTTGTCACTATCAGCACCCTCCCATCAACTGCCACATGTAAGGAACATTTCACACAATAACTCAGACAAGAAGTGACATTGTTAGAGTTAATTAAAACGGACTACCGAGAGTATCAAGGCCTTCACACAATGCTGTTGAGTTATCTTTTTAAATTGTTATGTAACTACCTGCTTAGCTATAATTAACTGAGCTTATGCTCTTTTTCTCCAGCTCCAGATGATTACACAAGCCTAAGTGCGACCCACACCTTCATACCAGGAGGGGGAACCAGGAAGTGCTCAACTATTCAAATATCTGCCGACACTGCTGTCGAGTCGTCCGAGAGTTTCTCTGCTGGTCTTCAGAGTGAAGTCGACATCCTTGACACACCTATTAGCGCATTCATCTTGATTCTTGATGGCAGTCGTAAGTAGCTCCAGTCAACATCAGAGGTTTTAACTATTAATTACATCGAACCTCTGTGTTGCAGGTTTCACACTGAGTTATTAGCTACATTGAACCTCTGTGTTGCAGGTTTCAAACTGAGTTATTATCTATATTATTATACGTTGAACCTATCTGTTTTAGGTGTGACCCTGAGTGTATATACCTAAATTGAACCTCTGTGTTATGTTGCCTGCAGGGTTGACACTGAGTTTAGGTGCAGCAGAGTACTTTGTGACTGAGGGACTTGCCTTGAGAGTGTGTGTGGTCCTCGTCAGTGGAGAGACTGAGCGAGTGGTGACCTTTGACACCACACTCGGTGGAGGATCTGCCTCAAGTATGTTTACTGTATTAGAGTTAAATTTTGGAAGCACATCAAACTAACGCTTTGTATTTCCCCAAGCAGTTATTGGTTTTTAATAATTATGAGTCTTACATTAGGACTCTACTGAATGCAAAAAATTATTATAATTATGTACACCTTTGATGCTGCCAACCTGACTAACCTGCTAATGAGCATGCCGCTGTTTCTCTCACAGCGATTAATGACTACTCCAACTCACCAATTACCGGATCATTTGGAGCAGGGTCGTCCCCCGGGGATGAGAGTTGTAGGTTTGTTGCAATATTCTCGGACAGAGATGTGGAGAATGACGAGACGTTTCTCGTAGAGCTGAGTAGCTCTGACTCTGCCACCGTGTCTGAGGGCATGGCTATTGTCACCATTCAGGATAATGACCGTTAGTTTCTTCTTTCCCCACCTTGCACTGTGACTTTGCTAGGTTTATGTATGCAATACTTTTGAACTAAGTCATGGAGAAACTTAAAGAAAATCCCTAAGTGATTCTGGTTTCTGTAAACATAATCACGATTATTAGAGAGCAAGGCTCCTCTAGAATAACTATAATAGATAGGTGTATTCAACTCATCAGTGAGTGACACCACTGCAGATGTGGAGGTGTCCTGGGAGAGTGTGGAGGTGACAGTAGCAGAGGGTGACAATGGTCAGGTGATGCAGGGTCAACTCTGTCTAGTCCTGGAGGACAGGGCTGACGGGCTACAGAGACCTGCCAACTTCCGTCTCTCCTCTGTCATTGGCACTGCAGGTTCGTAAACAGATCTGGGGAGGATCCTGTAATAGGCTCTCCTCACATAAATAAACTGTGACTGTCAGTGTAGGCCTGGAACAGAGGTGCTAAGTTTGAAAGCAAATGGACAATGCATAGGGGTTAAGACAACATCTTGTGGGAGTATCGTTCCCGAATCCATATACCTATGTGCAGCTTTAACACTTAGTAAGCCACAGACAATTCAATGTGTCCAGGGCCTCCATAAGTTGAAGAGAATTTTAATGGGGTTTTTTTAACCTACGCCTCTTAATAATTGTTATACATCTTTTGATAATGGAGGTTGCCCATAGCGTCCAAAGGGTTTTAAGGGACAGTTGTCTGATGAATTACGCAGATGAGAGTGACTATGTTCCACTGTTGGATGTGATACTGGGCTTCCCAGCCGACCCTTTCTTGAGTGAGGGGAGCACTGTCTGTCAGACTGTTAGTATCATTGGTGATGATGTCATGGAAGCCGACGAGACATTCACAATTGTCGCTACACCTGTGATGAACATTGACGTTATCATAGGGCCAGCCACTGTGACTATCACCATTGCTAATGGTGACGATGGTAAATCAGAAGAATGCATTTAACCATATACACACCTTCAAGATAAGTATCCCTCTTTCTGCACACTATCTCGCTAACTCACTCTTTGTGTAAAAGCAGCATTTCAGCAAACTGGCTACCTGCAATCAGGAATAGCTTCAATGTACCCTCTTTGAGTTAATCAGTATGTGGCCTCACATTCATTTGACACAGGCTTAGTTATTTGCTAAGATGCACCTCAATGTATGTCTGAAGCCTCTTAACAGGTATAATAGATAAGTTTGGCCTTTTTAGTGTATTGCAGTGTTCTGTTGGAAGAATGGGCGTGGCAACCTGTTATCTTCTCTCCTTTCCCTCTTACTGTTTCTCCCATCATTACAGATGACATTGCCTGTCCAGCTCTAACTAACCCAGTAAATGGAGCTGTGCTAGTGATGGAGTCACGCAAGGCTCAACTGCTACGTACACTTGTAACATTGGCTACTCCATTAGCGGTGACTCTGTCAGGAACTGTGGTCCAGATGGCACTTGGCAAGAGCCAGAGCCATCATGTCAAAGTATGGCACTCTCCATAATGATGTTGTGGTTGTATGGCCATGTATTTCCAAGCGCCATTAGCTGGGGAGATGAATTCCGGCCCATTTGCCAAGATGTCTTTTACAAGTACTTGGTGATGTATGTAATCAGCTCCAGGCCGACTTCCTTGCATAATGTGTTGCAGAAGTATACTGCACATGGAGGCTTGGCCAAAACAATACTGCAGCATAGATTGTGTTCTCTCTCAGTTAGCTCATGTGTAGTGCTGACAGTATTTGGAGTTTGCAATACATACATACATAACCATGTTACTCTATATACCGACAATGGGATCACATGATACGTTCTTCCACATGTATAATGCTGGCTAATGATGCTTCTATCCCCCCTAGTCATTGACTGTGGACCCCCTCCCTCCCCTGCCAATGCCAGCCCAGCCTCAACAGTCACTGCCACCATATTCGGAGTGGATGTGACAGTACGTCTGTGCCTCTGGCTATCTTCCCGAGGGAGAGGCCACTATCACCTGTGACGGCAGTGGTAGCTGGTCGGGCCCAGGGCCACAATGCAATGGTTTGTTTTTAGGATGTGTACAAATAATATACAGTTTCAAAGGATGAGTTACCACTCAAAAAATAAGTGGAGAAGTAGGTGTGGGATTATAGTTGCCTGACACTTTCAAAGATGATTACAACACTTCTGCATTAATCTACTTGTCTCTGCATTTGGTTAGCTATCTATTGGACCAATATTTGACATACGATATTGGTTATAGAGGTACGTAGCTCGGCTCCATGTGTGCCCAGTCACTCTCTAAAGTCAGAATGGCTCACAGTTGTTTTTTAGTTGTCCAGTACGTGATCCAATAATGGCTCACCACACACACAAGTATAGGTGGACAAGTAGGTGTAGGATCATAGTTGCCAAGAGTTTTCACAGTTTGACCACAATACCTCTGCATTATGGTGTACTACACTACTTCTCTGCATTCGGTTAGCTATACCTATTGTTACATCTCACCAGCTCCATGTACGTATGTGATGCCTAGTATAAAGTGCTGGCTTGTGAGTAAAAAGGCAGATGTAATTATTCTAGTGGTTTGACACATACCGCGAAGAGTTAACACACTCTTCATAATAACTGAAGTGGGAGTCACTCAAACGATGTGCACTATAAAACAATTTAACATACATGGTACAGTTGGAGTGAGTGTCAACTGCATCTGGACTATAGGTATTCAGTTTACATTGATATCATGAATGTGGGGGATTCAATAGTCTGTCAAGAATGCCTTGTGACCAACTGTACGTGATAAGTAGCAGTACTTTGGCTTTAAACTATGTATGGGTATCAAGGTGCATGAGAGTGTAAAGTGTGTGCTCATAGCATGCATGGCTTCTGTGTTTGATTCTGGATCCCTGACAGTGCATGTGAATCCCCTTTCCTATCCATAACGGTGCAAACCTGACCTTTTGTCCTACTTGTATGTATTTATGACTTCGCAAGTGGGCATAGTATGCTAATTACACTTACACCATTTACATTACTGTATTCTTTATTCTTCCTGAAACCACCATTGTATGCTGGTATTATGTGTTTCGTTTTGGAAACATGAAATAGAACAGGTTTTATTACATGTAGCTGTGGGCTGTGGAGCACTAACCAACCCACCCAATGGAGTAGTGGATGCCCCGGAAACAGTGTTCCCGGGAGTGGCCACATACACCTGTAACCCTGGCTACTCTCTGAATGGTGGTAGCACCAGAAACTGTCAGTCCAACGCTATGTGGTCAGGGACAGCACCGACATGTACAGGTATGTGAGACTTCTCCCGTATGAGGCTCCCACACATAGTACCTACCACGTAGTCTCTGTTGCAGATGCCTAAATATGGAACAGTAGCACACACTGTATAATTATGTTTGTATGAACACAAATTTAAAACATAATTATAGAGTATATATGAGAACATGGATGCGACGTAGTTTGACTGGTTTTCTAGTTGCCTGGTTGCCTTTCTACCTCGTTGTGACACATGGTATTCACAATGCTTTTCAATTGATTCTGTTTTCCGTGACTGTACATACAGTTGTGATGTGTCAAGTGCTGCTGAACCCCCCAAATGCCATTGTTCAGCACCCATCTGGTGTGGAGTACCTCTCCACGGCCGAGTACTCGTGCAACACTGGTTTCACCAGAGCCTCTGGGGACACAGAGAGGACATGTGAGGCTACGGGTACCTGGAGTGGCTCCGAACTAGTCTGTGACCGTGAGTTCATACACAGTTGTAACATTGTTGTAGTGACACTTGTGGTACATAGAAGTTCCCATATTGACAACCATGGATTAGGTGAGGTATGTATGACATCGGTTCTAATGCCTATAGTTACAATGGGTAGCTAAAGTAGGCTTTTCTTTCGCTGAATGGCAGCAGCCTTGCACGGAGTTTACATGTATCAAGCTTAACGACACTATAATGAAGGAGACATTATTATCAATTGAAGTGGAATAGTAAACATTATGTCACCTCTAATCTTTATGCAGCTGTCAACTGTGGATTTCTATCTCCCCGGCGAATGGTGATGTTGTGCACACCGGAACCACGTTTGACGAGACGGCAGAGTTCTCCTGTAATACGGGCTATCAACTCAGTGACAGCACCACTCGACGCTGCATGGCCAATGGCATGTGGCCTGATGACAGTCCCACTTGCATCCGTATGTCTTATAGTATTCCTTCACGATAAAACAAGCTCATTCTATCAACTGCCCAACATATAATTGAATATGGCTCATTCTAGTAGCAAGAGGTATCATCCATACAAAGGGGAGGGATAAAGATATTCCTTCACAGAGACACAGTAATAACCCTCCATGCAAAGATTAGTACTGCAACTACTATGTTTGTATATGTACTGCATGCAATACCAAATGATTGCCTACAAGAAGGTGTACTATCAATATTGCTTTCCCCTTGCAGTGGTTGGGTGTGGTGAACTGAGTGACCCCAGCAATGGACAGGTGGAGGTGACTGCATTCACCTTTGGCTCAGTGGCCACCTACTCCTGCTCAGCTGGCTGTCAGCCAGTGGGGCCATCCACCAGACTCTGTGAGGCTGACGGGACCTGGTCTGGACTACCACCACTGTGCCCAGGTAGCTACAGCCTCTCAAACTAAAGACCCTTTCACTCACTTAGACAAAATATTATTGTGGTCACTTGTAGCTATAAAGCTAACTAGTTATAAATTACTAGAAGGAGAGCTATATACACATTTTAAGCAAGTGAGCACAATTATATTTTTCGTGAATTGCATAGAATATCATTGTATGCGCAATGTCCGACTGACCATCACATAATTAGAGAATCCCCACATTCAGGCGACTTGCCTCGTTTGCCAATTATAATACTAGTGCAAAACACAAAAATATAAAATAGCTACTATCATTTTAGATAATATTTTGTGTGGTGTTTGTGTCACTGCTTGTATTTGTGTGCTTCAGTTATAAACTGTGGGACTCTGAGTAACCCAGCCAATGGAGTGGTCCAGTTCCTCAGCAGCAGTACTGCAGGTGGAGAGGTGGTCTATGTGTGTGACAGTGGTTATGAGGTGGTGGGGGACAGTGGGAGAGAGTGCCTGTGTGTAGGAGTGTGGTCTGGATCTGAGCCAATATGCCAAGGTAAACATAGCTACATACACCTTACACATTGTATGCATTCATGAAAGGTTGTGGACAAGCACTGATGCAAAAGAAGGGGAAAGTGATTTGCTTTGTGTGCTAACAGACTAGTTCTAGATTGCCTTCCTTTCAAAGTCCAAGTATGAAAAGTTTTCTTCGGCTAAGTTATAATGTGGGTGTTTGTACAGAAATATGGAAACGGTGCAGATTGGCCTCTCTCGCTTAGGGACATTCACTCTTGCAATTGTTTGTACATTTTGTAGAAATGGCTCTTGCATATTTCTTTTAGTCTTGTAACTGTAGCTTGAAGTTGGTGCCCACCCAGCTGTTAAAGTTGCAACAGCCATGTCAAAGTTTTCAATTATTCACATGCAGCTATTGACTGTGGTATTCTGGAGGACCCAGTCAACGGGGCAGTAGCAACGTCACAGGGCACAGTCTTCATGTCTGATGCCACCTACACCTGCAACGAGGGCTACCGTCTGGTGGGCTCATCAACCAGATCCTGTGAGGAAACTGAAGTCTGGTCTGGAGCAGCACCAGTTTGTGAGAGTGAGTCCACTTTAATGATTAATTGTTGAAAATGCATGCATGTGTAAACTATGAGGTAGGAAGGCAAATGCACAGCAAACAAGTCAACTACATGAGAGCTCTTTTTTCGGGAGCTGCCCTAAGTGGGATTAGAACCCATGACACTCTGCAGTCTAGGCTGAGTGCTCTACCAGCTGAGCTTCCAGGGCAACTCTAATGCTAACCAATAAACAGCTCTTTAAACAATATCCTCATTGGCATGCATATGCATACCATCTGTACTCTTATAGTAACAACAGAGGCCATATATGTCACCAAACATGATCTTTTACCACCTTATTCTTACACTGCCATGAATAATAATGCATGACAATGTCCACTTCACTATTCTCTTAGTTTGACAGGCATGAGATAGGGAATGAGATGCGGGGATAACCCAGTGAAGCCTGTGTCAGTGCTTACGTGCTTACATAGCAATTATTGCCAGTCCTTATGTGCTAAGTGAATTATTGTCTCCCTTTAGTTGTGACATGTGAGACTCTACCAGACATTGGCAATGGAGGAGTGTCTCTATCAGGGACCCAGTTTGGCTCGGTGGCCACCTACAGCTGTGTCCAGGGCTACAGAGTGGAGGGAGCTATGGAGAGGACATGTCTTGCCACTGGACTTTGGTCTGACAGTCCACCACTGTGTCAAGGTTTGTGAGTTCCAGTGCAAATACTAGGCAACATGAGATATGTATACAAGCGCTGTCACAGTTGGCTCATAATAAATAGGTAAAAGAAAAACAAAACAGAGCATACACAACAAGCAAAGCATAAGCACATGACCAGAAATAAAATTACCAGCCTTTAAGTTTATGTGTGATCATAATAGATATAGCCTATCTACTAAGTGTGCACGTGTGTCTGGAGGGGGGCGGGGAGAAGCTAGATAATTCTGCAACTTCCATGCTAGGTTGTATCGTACCCACATTACTTCAGAGCCAAATCCTTCTCCCTTCACTCTCAACATTCCCACTATATTATATAACACACTGAGTTGTGTAAATGCACCATACCTACTGCAGAGATCAGATGCGAGGTTCTTGAAGATCCAGTCAATGGGCGAATAACGTTCTACAGCAATCAACAGTTCCTGGACTCTGTGGCGCTTATAGCCTGCAACTCTGGGTTTACCCTCATTGGAGCTGACCAGAGACAGTGCCAGGAGTCAGGGCAATGGACTGGCCAGCAACCACAGTGCATTGGTAATTTTTCAGTACCAAAGTTTAGACTGGCATTCCAAGTTATCTGGCAAAATTCTGTTAGGGTTCACCAATTGTGTCTGATTATCTTTCTTGTAGTAGTTGTTGAGGCGGTGTAATTGTTAGTTTGTTGGTACTAATTCAGCATCTGCATGTTGTTGCTTTGCCACGGCAATATCAGCTCAGATACAGTGTGAGAATAAAGGTTTCTTGAGGTTTGTGTGCATTCGTCATACAGTGACAGAAGAAAATCCACAAACACTTCTCTCTCAAAACATTCCCGTGTTAATAATTATAGAGCTTTGTTCTGTGTTATTCATGACAGCTAAGGGTGTTTGTGGAGGCCATGCCAATGTGCTTACGGCAGACATTATTCACATTCTTGTTGCAAGACGACATACATTATGGTATTGCTGTGTGTATAACACCATCTATAGAGATTGCCTGTGACTCCCTCATCAGTCCCTCCAATGGGAATGTGGTGGTGGATGGGAGTGGAGTGGGGACAGTGGCCACCTACTCCTGTGACACTGGCTACACTCTGGAGGGAGTGTCAATGAGGACATGCCAGAACTCTGCAGATCCCACCTGGTCTGGCAGCCACCTTCCTGCAACAGTGAGTTAGTATAACCTACAGAGTCAAGCAAATCATTAAGTTACTAACAGAGTCAAGCAAATCATTAAGCTACTAACAGAGGCAAGCAAATCATTAAAGCTACTAACATAGGCAAGCATCATTACTACAGAGCTAGCTACTACAGAGGCAATATCATTAATACTAAAAAGGCAAGTATAAGTTAGTACAGAGGCAAGCAAATCATTAAGCTACAGAGGCAAGAATAATTATTATTAAGCTACTAACAGAGGCAAACAAATGAGAGGCAAGCAAATCATTAATCATGGGTTCTTTAGCTGAAGTTGGCGAGGGGTGCTGTGATAAAACTCGTTTTTATAATGCTACGATACTATGTTGTTTTTTTCTCACTAGTCGTGATGTGTCAAGTTTTGTCAAACCCTGTGAACGGTGTGGTGGAGTTTTCCCCCGGGGTGACCTACCAGTCAACAGCCCAGTTCAGTTGTCAGGAGGGCTACCAGCTGGCAGGGTCATCACCCCTGACCTGTGGAGACAGTGGAGAATGGTCTGGCTCACCTCCTCTGTGCGAATGTGAGCCAAATTAATTGCAATCTCCAACTGTGATATGATGGAAAATGAGATTGTGAAATCCATACATAAAACACTGGTGTAAATCTGTCAAAAACTATAAGTGGGCTAGTAACCTGGGCCTCGTTACTTAATGAAATTTTTTCACTCAAAACCCCAAAACTTAGTCCTAAATGAAGACCCAACCAACCTGAGCATACCTTAGTTTCACATTTGAATGGTGCTGACATCAAATGTGTAGTCACTATCATAGCTAGTCATTTACTCATGCACCATTTACACTCACAGTCGTTCCATATTTGTACTGAGTATGCGCCTGATACAGAGGGATCTGAGCACAATATGAAAGAGGTGAAGTGATCATAAATGCATACACGTGTGGTTCCTTCAACAGTTGTGGTGTGTCCTGATCTCCGGAGCCAGACAACAGTGCCATAGCTACAGCCAGGAGTCACATGTATATCTGAGCTTGGCTAGATATGTGTGTGCCAGTGGCTACATGTTGGATGGTGATGAGAGCAGAGAGTGTCGTGCTGATGGAACGTGGAATGGGAGCTCCCCGATATGCAGACGTAAGCCCCTATGGCAGTAAGGGGTGTTTACTTCGTAACACATAAATATAGAATGAGTCAAGCTGATGCAGGATGGGTGTGCTTCAATATTAATGCAGTTAACCAGAGGTGGTTTGGTGTTTCTTATGGTGACTCTTTTGTTGCTATTGTTTTGACTCCACAGCTGTTGATTGTGGAGAGTTGATGGATCCGATGAATGGGAACGTTCAGTTTGCACGAACAACTTTTGGAAGTGTGGCAGTGTATGATTGTGCAGAGAACTACATGCTGAGTGAAGGAAACACCAGGTTATGTCAGGCTGACAGTCTCTGGTCTGGCTTCACACCATTCTGCGACTGTAAGAGATTATTGTAACACACGTCACGATTAATTCCTGCGAACAGTGTTTCATCGTAAAGAGTAAACTACAATTGTATGTTACAAAATCGTCACCTCCACCATATTTATCTGGGTATGTATATGTTATTACACCTTTTGGAGTGGTGTTGCTGGTTTATCCGCCCGACTCCCCCCGAGGGCGCGTAGCGCCCGAGGGGGGAGGGCGGATAAACCGCAACACCACGACAAAAGGCGTAATAAAATGTTTATTACCGCTGATTGGTCGTTGGTGGTGAAACCGCGCGCGAAAATGGCGCATCCACCCAAATAAGGCGATGCGCGTGAACCTGCGCATGCATAACGTGCCGTTATCGTACGCTCCAGGCAAACACGATCGACGCTAACTGGTCGATCGAGGGAGCGATTGAGGGAGCGAATGGCAGAGGCTTTCCGTTTGGAAGTCGAGGGTTGGGATTCTGAGACGTCGCTGCAAGACTCCGCGTCGAGAGTAGCGCTCCTGGGAACGGACCGTCGGCATCTAAAAGGCGTAGGCTCTCGCTGACAAGGAAGAGGGCTACGTGCACTACTTCCGCAGCTACAGAGAGGTTTGAATTTTTAGATGATGGAAAGAGCGAGGCTCTCAGCAAGAAGTTTGTGCCTACGCCTTTTCGATGCCGACGGCCCGTCCCCAGGAGCGCTACTCTCGGACGCGGAGCCTTGCAGCGACGTCTCAGAATCTCAATCCTCGACTTCCAAACGGAAAGCCTCTGCCATTCGCTCCCTCGATCCTCCCTCGATCTGTCAGCGTGGACATAAGAACATTGATACCCAACCCTAACCACAGTGGATATTCACACCATTCCTTAGTTATTCACCCTAACCACAGTGGATATTCTCACCTTCTCACCCTCTTGGGTGGGTAGCTGATTTATTGTGCTAAAATAAACATAGCAACGACCTAGCAACTGGTAATAACTATATGTACCACATAAAAGCGTGGCAGTACGCAAGGAAATAACAGAAACAAAGTTGTGTTCTTGCACTTGCCTGTATTATGTACAGCAACGTTATCTTTAAGCACGCTTTGGTCGAAAGCCGATGTATTAATGTGCACCATATACTGTTCCACTCACATAGTGGTTGACTGTGGAAGACCTCCGTTTGTGTTCTTCTCGACATCTGACACGACAGCCACGACGGTGGGCACTGTCATCACCTACACCTGTTTCTCTCAGAGGAGACTGGTGGGAGACAGACAGAGAACCTGTCTGGGTAGCGAACAGTGGAGTGGAGACACACCTACATGTGTCGGTATGAAAGTTTTTGTGTTTGCGATCTGTATATATGGCAAGAGTTAAAAGGCTTGCATTTAGTTACACTTGGTTCTCAGTACTGAAGCTGAAGAGGGTCAAGATCTTCTCAAAGTAGTTGACACCTCTTGGCTTCTGCACCTTAATGTTCATGAACATCATGTTATCATGCACGGTGAAAATTTGGGCACATAACTCATAATTTGCAATTGTATCAGAGCGTAACATCATATTATATCATTACTTTTTGCTGCTCACTATACGATACTAATGTGTTGTGTACATGTGGCTCACTTGTAGCTACGTATCATTCCCAAATGCAGAAATAGTCTGTGAGAATCTAATGAACCCACTGAATGGACAAGTATCAACCACAACTCTCAACCATGGAGGAGTGGCTACATACGAGTGCAGTGTGGGCTATGTGATTGAGGGAACAGCTACCAGAATGTGTGAGGGAAACGGAACATGGAGTGCCAATGCACCAATTTGTAAAAGTAAGCTATTATTGTTGGATGCGAATTATGACCAAAACTTCATATTAACATTTCCAAAGTTGGTGATATGAAATTAAGTTCGTTATTATGCCATTTGCCATTTCAGTTTTTCCAACCCTATCTTTGGTGATTCTCTGATCTCTACAGTTGTGACATGTCCAAGTCTGAGTCCTCCCAGCAATGGCCAGGTCCAGCTGCAATCCCTCCAATACCAGTCTGATGCCAGCTACACCTGTAACGAGGGGTATTTCCAAGAGGGAGAGCCCGTTAGGACATGCCTGGCCAGTGGTCTCTGGAGCGGAGAAGAACCTAGCTGTGAACGTTAGTTTCCTCGTTTCTCTTCTCTGCCACCTCTCTTCTGACATTACAAAATCATTTTTACAAGGGTAGTACTTTAGTTCAGATGCCATGAAAGAGTAGCTATTACATTAGAGATTTTTTGCACTTTCCATAGCATGTGGGCTCAAGGCGCAGCAAAGTCAAACAAAACTACACCTAGGACACTACTGGTTTTGTGTGCAACGTACGTATTTTGTTTTCTCTTTTGAAATAGCCTTGGACTGTGGACCCCTCATTCCTCCACTGAATGGAGGTGTGAACACACCCAGTATTGCGCTGGGTTCTCAGGCCACCTACTACTGTGATGGCCCGGGCTACATCCTCAGAGGAGACAGCAGTCGGCAGTGTTCCATCGACGGACGATGGAGTGGCAGTCACCCATCCTGTGACAGTTAGTCTGACACAGACATTAAAATAATACCTAGCATTCTTTCAGTTAATTAACTAGCTGAATAAGACTCAAAGTACTTCAAAACCTTGGTATCTCTTGCACACCAATTAGTGTCCATTATAAATAATGGACATATTAAGGCTCTGAACACATCTATGGTTCCTGCCCTGTTGAATATGATTGAAAGACTTGTTATTACCCTCGGCGCGCATTCACAGCGATGGGTACAGTAGTTGGGTCTGTGTGTGTGAGTGTCAGTGTGTCTGTCTGTTACTCAACATCTCACTTCTCCAATGTTCGTTTGTCTCACAAACGACCACTTACTTAACGACCAATGAAGGTCAGAATGTTTGTGCAGTTTTCTCTGAAAATGCTCCGTAGCAAAGCTAGAGCGCGAAAAAGCCAATATGCAAATACACAACGGACGGGATGGCTTACCACAGTCCGATCGATCCGCGTGCTCTGCGTACCTCGGAGGCACCAGAAGATGTAACGCAGGGAATGTTTCACCTCTCGCGTGCTATATATTTTAGTAGTGTAGTTAGCCCGCGTCAGACTCAGGCGCGAGCTGGCAAAAGACCGCGAGTAACAGCTAAAACTATTAGTGGTATATACGGCGCATGCGTTTGCTTACGGGTGTGCGTCATGTCACAATGCGCCGAGGGTTTGCACTTCAGTGCTTTTCATTATATAAGTGGTTGCAAATGTCCAACCCTGGCTGTCAAAGAAAATCCGTAGCCCCAGCTGTCAAACCAGTGTGTAAACCTTAGCTGTAGACTATAGGCGTGTTAGATGAGTGATAATGGTGTAGCTATCCCTCGTAAAGTACTTCCAGGTGATGAGAATAAAGACATAGGCCATATTATAACTGGGTGCACTATAGGATATTACTTCCAATTTTTCTCATGTTGTTGTCCAGATGTAAACGAATGTGAAGTTATGAATGGCATGTGTCAGCAGCTGTGTGAGGACAATGATGGTAGCTATGATTGTCTCTGTGAGGACGGCTATGTACAATCTGAAGTAAATCCTCTCCTTTGTAAAGGTATGTTCTACAGCCTCACACTATCTTTATTGGCCATGAATGATGATGTTGAACTACATGTCAAAGCAAAGCTAGAGCGCGAAAAAGCCAATATGCAAATACACAACGGACGGGATGGCTTACCACAGTCCGATCGATCCGCGTGCTCTGCGTACCTCGGAGGCACCAGAAGATGTAACGCAGGGAATGTATCACCTCTCGCGTGCTATATATTTTAGTAGTGTAGTTAGCCCGCGTCAGACTCAGGCGCGAGCTGGCAAAAGACCGCGAGTAACAGCTAAAACTATTAGTGGTATATACGGCGCATGCGTTTGCTTACGGGTGCGCGTCATGTCACAATGCGCCGAGGGTTTGCACTTCAGTGCTTTTCATTATATAAGTGGTTGCAAATGTCCAACCCTGGCTGTCAAAGAAAATCCGTAGCCCCAACTGTCAAACCAGTGTGTAAACCTTAGCTGTAGACTATAGGCGTGTTAGATGAGTGATAATGGTGTAGCTATCCCTCGTAAAGTACTTCCAGGTGATGAGAATAAAGACATAGGCCATATTATAACTGGGTGCACTATAGGATATTACTTCCAATTTTTCTCATGTTGTTGTCCAGATGTAAACGAATGTGAAGTTATGAATGGCATGTGTCAGCAGCTGTGTGAGGACAATGATGGTAGCTATGATTGTCTCTGTGAGGACGGCTATGTACAATCTGAAGTAAATCCTCTCCTTTGTAAAGGTATGTTCTACAGCCTCACACTATCTTTATTGGCCATGAATCATGATGTTGAACTACATGTCAAAGACCCAACTCCAAGTGTCACTAGTCTGCAAGTCCAGTATACTAGCTACACATTGAGCTAAATGCCCATACAAAACCCGGTTTCTCTAAAGTATACTACTGCCAGAAAATAGCTATTTCTGAGTTCTAATCAACCTTCTCTTGGCTTCACCACTGAAGTAGTGGATGTGTTACTTTCGTCATAGATGTTCTCTTCTTGCCTGTGTACCATGTATATACTTCGACTGTCTTGTTATCATTACAAACAACAGACGTGTGAACATTGAGCAATAATTATCACACCCTGCAGATGAGAATGAGTGTGAGGATGGAGCAAATGGTGGCTGTGCTCATACATGTCAGAACCTTGAAGGAGGGTTCAACTGCAGCTGTGACGGTGGCTACCTACTCTCAGACAATGGCAGAGATTGCATAAGTAAGACCCTATGAACAATAGGCTACACTAACTTAAACATGAAACTAGCTAGCTACATGGGAGCTACATGGGACCTACTCCATTTTAGGCGTTTCAGTAACTAAGCTCCCTAGCATAGCTACTATGCAGAGCTGATAAACTAAGAGCACACCAAATGTTTCAATTCTCAGATATGAATGAGTGTGAACTTGGCCTGGATAACTGTCACCCAAATGCCATGTGCTCCGATGTGGACGGAGGCTTTGAGTGCTTCTGCAACATTGGGTTTGAGGGTGATGGAACTACCTGCGTCAGTGAGTCTCAAAAACTTAAAAGCTACACTACTTGCAATTGTGTGTATGAAGTTTCTTCAACAAAAATGTGTTGCACGTCCATCGTGTATATATAAGCAGAAATACATATTCCATCATGTATAAGCAGAAATAATGGACAGTGGGAGTGAAGACTATTTTTGCTGTTTTAGCACGGTGTATTATGGTAGCAGAGAATACCACTTAGATAGAACTCTTCTAGCAACTGTTAGCTAAAGTCTGCATATCCTAGCCTATTTTTATAGGCCGGGTTTAGACTCTTGCGGTTGTAACAATTCACATGGCCACGTGGTGTTGCATTGTTTGAGAGAAAGTTTTCTACCAGGCATATTCACATAGTGTTTTAACTATGCTTATCCCAGCAACGACACATTATAGGGTATGCGATCATAAGAAAGTAGTGCTGACACAATGCTTTCTAAAAAGGCTGCATATCCATTGTGCTGTGGTTGCTACAGAGGAATATATTTGATCATGGCAAGTATGCTCTTATCAGCATGCAGCATACCTGACGATAAAATCGATACTTGATGTGAGTTGATGCATGAATGTTGGGACACACTGTCTTCTTCTACAGACACAGATGAGTGTGCTCAGAGTGGAAATCCTTGTCAGGAGAATGCAGAATGCAAGGATGTCGAGGGAGGATTTGTGTGTCAGTGTCTGCCAGGATATGAGGACGTCGAATCCACATGCTTCAGTTAGTTCCCATCAATGGTTGATATTAGCTACCAGCTGAAGCTGTATCATCTGAATGTGTTTAACTATAAACATAAAGGCAATTGTTGGGATTTACCGTTTCTTTCCTACTATATAATCAAACAGATGTTGATGAGTGTCAAGATGGAAACGAGTGTCATCCAAATGCCACGTGCTCTGATACTGATGGTAGTTTTACATGCACCTGCAGAGATGGAGTTGCAGGAGATGGCTTCACCTGTGAAGGTATGAACACTCTCCTCATTTATGAACAACCCATTTTGTTATTCACTCTACATTATGGAAGGTAATAAAAGTGTGTCTCTTCTTGCAGCTCAATGTTCAACAAACTTCCAACTGGTGCTGGGACCAGTGGATTCCTGCCTCAACTGGAGGGTGAGTCAACACCTCTGTAATCACACTATCACACACGTGTTCTTGCACATTTGATTACCTCACGCTTTATTGTCTCTCGTTGAAATTGTTAAATACACGGTATATAGAGCATTCCAACTAAAGGACACAACAGAAAAAACTTTCAGTATTTGAGGTCCTATATGTACTAAAGTGCAAACCCTCGGCGAACTGCGCTCGCGCGGTACCGCTCAATGATGGTCTGGGCTATTAGTATGTGTTTACTCATGACGTGGTCTCCTGCTAGTATCTAGCTCATGGAGAGTCTGACTCGGGCTAGCTATATACAGTAGTATAATATAGATAGCATGCGGGAGTCGATGCACGCCCTTCGTTGTGCCTTCAAGATACACAGAGCGAGCGGACCCGGTCGAGGTAAGCCTGTGCTAATTATCGTATTGGCTTGTTCACTTGGTTTTCACACCATAACTTTTGAACGCAGTAGTTTTACAAAAATCGCCTTTTTAAAAATGAAGCCAGTGTAGCACTGAACCCGTTGGTGTCACTTTTTGGCCGGTTTGTTGCGCAGAAAACGTTGACACACAGACACACAGACCAAGTACTATAACCCTCGCTGCACATGCTTGCAGAGGGTTAAAAAGGAAAACCTTGCAATAAAATGCCTGGTCCCAACGTGACCATTAGTGAGTCTTTCAAGGCTGTTCCACTGTATTATTTTTGTGTCCCTACAGTTTGACTCAACCACAGCAAAGCTATCAGATATCACAGTGGCAACAGTCTCTATGCTCAACAGCATGTGCCAATGTGACGTCACCCTCAGTCACGTCTCTGAAAACGAATTCACCTGCTTTTACAATGAGGCCCAGGAAGTAATCTACAGAGCCAAATTACAGGGTGTGGAGGCTAACGACTGTTCCAATCTCACTAAACACATCAGAGAGTGGATGGAGGCCTCATCCTCTATACTAATACAAGGGAATAGATTGGGCCTAAACCCAAGATGTGACTTAGAAATTGAGACTCTGGATATCCAACCGGCATGTGTGATAGGTGAGACCCCTCCGTCTCCTACTACATCCAGCCCAAACGACGGCCTACCAATTCAAGTGATAATTGGAGGGGCAGTGGCTGGAGCAATCATTATCATTCTTCTACTGTCATTGGCGGTGGCCGTTTGTTGCATTTGTTGCAGAAATAAGGCAAAAGATAACAGGTTTGTTCTTCACAATCTTTCCTAACTTGATTGGTAATCTTTCTCATTGACAGGGAGAGTGAACCCAATGAATACAGTAATCTCTCTCGGCCGTCCAGACAGAGCTCACTAGCAGTGCCCTACACCGTATCATCCATGACACCCACTGGTGGAAGTGGCATCTTTGACTACGACATTGACACCAAAACCTCCACCACATTTGAGCCAGGAAACATCTCCCGCACACCGTCAGTACCACTAGTCACCATGACCGACATACACCGCCACTCTACCCACTCCTCACGCAGTGGCAGCTTCTCCAGTATCGATCCCAATGAACTCACATATGCCAACATGAACGATAACAATGAGCCAGAGAAGTTTGATGACCCAGTGTATGAGCACATAAAGGGAGGAGAGAAGGAAGACATTGCTGCAAACCCTCTCTATGATGGAATGAAGAGTACTAACCTATAGCACAGAATGACTGTTTACAAGCCTATAAGCACTGTGTTATGGATCTTTCTTTGGTGCTGCAATTGTATATTATTATTAGTTATTAGATTAACGTTTATTCCACAATACAACTCCTAAAAATTGAACGTTTTTGCCGAGCACCCGCAACACTATAATTCTGCAGCATGCGCTCAGTCAGAGTATTCTATTGACTGGGGCTAAACTGTATCAACCCCTTTTAAACCTATAAATTTGATAGTGAATGCCAAAACACTATGGCAGTCAACAGAGAATGTAAATAAGACCTTGCTATATACTTCATAGGAGTCACGAAGTGTATGAAGTAACAAGGAAAATTATAACAATGATAATGTGAATAAATTAATATTCAGCGATAATGTTGTTGTCTTTCATCCCAAAAAAAAACTGCATCTACATATTTTTCTCGCCTTTTTTTAACTGTGGTACAATTACTATCCCTTCAGACCTTCAGAAGGCAACTTTACGAAAAAAGATTTTATTCTCCACATGTGAACATTGTGTGGGATACTCCTAACAATGCCAAGGTAGGGTCAAACCCTTGATTTTGGGGACGATGGATGTCTGTCACAGCTTGTACAATTTCTTCAGCAACAGAGCGAGGAAAAGAATTAAATCTCAGATCAAGCTCCTACAAGGAAGAATTATGGTTGAGGACCTGGATTAGAGCTGTAGCACCAGAGGTATCAACATGGTTACATCCCAAGTTTAATTTCTGAAGTGAAGAGTTGTGTTTCAGAGCTCCAGCCAGGAATGTAGCTCCATCATCAGCAATGCCTGTACGAAAGAGGTTTAAGGTCTGAAGGGTGCAGTTATCGCATTAGCCAGGGCTTTAGCTCCATCATTAGTGAGGTCTAATGTCTGAAGGGTACAGGTATGGTGAAGAGCACTTCCCAGGGCTATAACTCCATAATAAGTGATGCTGTTTATTGATAGGTTTAAGGTATGAAGGGTACAGTTATGGTGAAGAGGCTGGGCAATGACTGTTGCTTCATTGCCACCAATATCAGCATAAGAAAGAGTTAATTCTTTAAGTGACGAGCTGTGTAGTATGTAATAGCTGCGCTACTCTATCACAATCAATTATGATATGAGAAAGCTCCATGGTTTGAAAATTTGAGTTGTTGCAAAGGCTCTGTGGTATCGGAGCCAATAGTAGTTGTCTGATTGTGTGTTGGACTGGGACTACCATTATCTCAATCCATTTGGAGTGGGCATCCACCACCACTAGGAAATATTCTCCCGAGGAATTGGCCTATGTGGTCGCCTTGTCCAGGGATGACTTGGCCATTTCAACGAATGTAGTGGGGCAGGGCCGACGAGTCGCGTTTTGACTTCGAATAATATGATGGCCACCCCTTCCTTGTCAAGGTGGGCATAATTCTTTTCGGCCGGGGAGAGGGACCTCGATGCGAATGCGATAGGCTTTTCGCCATCAGGGGTTTCGTGGGCTATGACTGCTCCCATGCCATAGGGTGATGGGTGACGCATCACAGGCTAAGATGAGCTTCTTCTGCGGATCGAAGTGAACGAGCACATCAGTTGATGAGAGCCTCTCTCTTGATCTGTGAAATGCCGTTTGTCTGCAGTTCCACTTTGTTTTCTTTTCTAGCAATTTGTAAAGGGGGGCTAGGATGCTCGATAGTTGGCCGACAAATTTTCCGTAATAGTTGACCAGCCCCAGGAAGGCATGAAGTTGTGTTACATCCTGTGGTGCTGGAACCTCAATTATGGCCCCTACTTTTCCTTTGTTGGGTGAAGACCTTCTGCAGAGATGTGGTGTCCGAGGTATATACTCCACAGCAGGTAGCACATTTTCTTTCTTTCATACGCATACCGGCTTCCTCAAGACGTTGTAAGAACTTGTCTAGCATCTCCAGGTGCTTTTCCTCTGTCTTTCCAGTTACAAGGATATCATCCAAGTACACACAAACGCTGAAGATTCCTTGCAAAATTCCTTCAATGGTTTCTCTGAAAGATAGCAGGGGCTGCTGATACACCAAATGGCAGGCTATTGTACCTGAATAGGCCTTTGTGAGTGTTGATGACGACAAACTTCTTCGACTCATCGTCAAGCTCTAGCTGCAGGTAGGCATGAGCTAAATCTAGCTTTGAAAACGCCTTTCCTCCGGCAAGGGATGCAAATAGGTCATCAATACGGGGCAATGGGAAATAGTCCGTCTTGGCGGCCCTGTTTACTGTGACCTTGTAGTCGCCACATATTCGTAGGGACCCGTCTTGTTTTAGCACCGGTACGATGGGTGCTGCCCATCTTGAGAATTGGACTGGTTCGATCACACCAGCCTTTTACAATCGAGCCAGATCTTGCTCCACTTTATGTCGGAGGGCAAATGGAACGGTTCGTGGTTTGCAAAATCTTGGTTGGCCCTCTGGATCAATCATTATTGTAGCTGTGACTATAACTCCTGAGTGTTTCGCTCCGCCGCCTAGGCTGCTGTGCCAGTTCGAGGGCTTTGGTGAAAGTGAGGTCCGGTTCTGCCAACAGTCGCCGCTGGATACGTTAAGTCCCCGACACCACACACCAGCCGATTCCGGAGCATATCGCTGAGGGTTGTTCCGAAGTTACAGTGCTAAGATAGTTTGCGTAGTTCGGCCATGTATGCTGAGATATTCTCCCCACGACGTCGGCCACAGGAATGAAAGTTAAACCGCTGGACAATAATAGACGGGCGAGGTTGGACGTGCTTTTGTACAGCTTCCACAATTTCTGCAAACGTTACCTCCGTTGGTTTAGTAGGGGCGAGCAGGTTCCCGATTAGTTGATAAGTTTGTCCGCCTACAGCAGTAGTACTGAGCTGAGTAATACTGCACATTGCTTATCCATTGTCTTGACATCGTTAGCTATGAAATATTGTTGGACCCGCTCCACGTAGGATTGCAAGGTCTCCTGAGCGTTCCGAAATTCACCGATTGTTTCATGAGTGGCCATAGTTGCCGAAGTATCCTCGTCGCCAATGTGGTATTGGAGTACTTAATCCAATAGTAGTTGTGTGATTGATGATTTGTGTCAGGGGTACAGCTCCATTCCTAGTAATAAACATATCAGACAGAGATAAACTCCGAAGACAAGAGTTATGCTGTAGGGCTTCAGGTAGAGCTGCATCCACAAAAATTTTACAAACAATATATTTATTAAAAGCAGTGTCCAGTCTATTTGATAGGGAAAACTCTTGAAGGGTGAATTTAGCCATAAGAATGTGTATCAGGTTTTCAGCTGTATTACCAATAACAAATGGTAGGAACCAATAATAGTAATTTTTCTGAGAGTTGTGTTCTGCATTACATTGGCTCAGTTCTGTGCAGTTCTTCCACTGTTCTGCCCAGAGCAGCCTGAAGCTGTCGATGCAGCATAGTGCTTTAGCTCCATCATCATGAACATCAGTTAGGTTCAACTCCTGTAGAGCACACCTGCGAGAGAGCCAGAGCTAGAGCTATAATTCCATTGTGTCCTAGCCATGTACGAGAGAGGATAAACTTCACAGGGTTGGAGTCATGTTTGAAAGCCTGGAACACGGCAACAGTTTCAGCATCTCGGGATTCGTGATCAGACAGTATAAAATTATCAAGAGCACTGTTGTGGGAAAGGGCATGAGCTAAGTTGGTAGCAATATCATAAGACAAAGGTAGCTTGGGAGTGGCAGAGTTATCATGAGGGGCTAGTCGTTCAGTATTTGATGATTGGAAACATTTTTACAAATCCAAAGTGTTAGTATTTGCAGATTATTATTCTCGGTGCTCATCAGCTTCCTTTACTGACTTCTCTTCAAGAGTGTGGTGGTGGTATACAGTCTCTAACAACCCCAGTAGTTGCTGCGAAGCTGGAGTTGGTGCTTTTTCTGAATGACTGTAGTCGTCCCTGAACTTAAGGGAAAACTTCTTGAGGAAGTCTGTTGAGGCCAGATAACCGGCAGGTTCGTGCAGTCTTGTCAGGGCTACAGCTCCATTCCTAGTAATAAATATCTCAGACAGTAATAAACTCCGAAGACAAGAGTTATGCTGTAGGGCTTCGGGTAGAGCTGCATCCTCAAAAATTTACACACAATGTGTTTTGTAAAACCAGTGTTCAGTCTATTTCATAGGGAAACCTCTTGAAGGGTGAAGTTATCCACAAGAACGTGTATCAGTTTTTAAGCTGTATAACCACCAACATACGGGGACGGGGACCAATAAGGGTAATTTTCCTAAGAGAGATGTCCTGCATTAACTAGAGCTTTAGCTCCATAATCATCAACAGTTAGGTTCAACTCCTGTAGAGCACACTTGTGACAGAGAGAGAGAGCCAGAGCTAGGGTTATGTTTCCGTTACATCCAAGCCATGAATGTGAGAGAATAAACTTTACAGTGCTGGAGTCACGTTTGAAGGCCTGGAGTACAGCAACAGTTCGAGCATCTTGGAATTTTTGATCAGAAGGTATAAAATTCTCAAGAGTACTGTTGTGGGAAAAGGCATCAGCTACGTTGGTAGCAATATCATAAGAAAATGGTAGATTGGTCATGGCAGAGTCAACATGAAGGGCGGATTTATTGTTTTGTATCAGGTACGGTGAAGATAATTATCTTTCTCTTGATAATAAAGTATTGGAAACATTTTTAGGAATCTCATGCTTTAGCTTTTGCAGATTATTGGCAACAGTAACATCAAGTCCTAGGTTCTCCAACAACTTATTTTCAAGTGCAGGATCACGGTTAACAGAATGCAATAATTCCTGTAGTTTATGTGCAGTAATTTCAGAGGACAACTTTGCAGTGTAGTACTTTTGTTTATAAATGTGAGAAGTTATTCATACACATTATTATTAATTTGACATCTCTCACATTGTAACTCTACTCTTTCAAATGGCAGTAAGTCATTATCGGCCACTGCTCTAAGAATAGGCTCCACTTTCATTTTATCAGAGCAAAAATTCAATCTCATTTCCTTGAGGCAGGTAGTTGAGGAGAGATAATTTTGCAATAGTTCCACTCTCCTTTTCTTCCAGAGTTACGCAATTAATTGTGAGAGAACAAAGTGACACCGGAAGATCAATACTCCCCATTTGTGAATAAAAGTCTATTTCAAGTACATTCAATGTAGGGAAGTTTGGACATGACACATTATTCTCACGCAGGCCTAGTTTCAAAGATAGCTGAAGAAACTCAACGAAAAACAATTCCAAATTGGTGCTTTGGTATTCCGACACAAAATGTAGTCCTATTACATTACCTTTAACTGGACCTGCTGTCCCTTTACAAAGCATTGTAATTTTCTCTTTGCTTAAACCGCTCATTCCTGTCAGTGACTGCAACCACTGACACTTGCTGTGGGACATGCAGTAACCAAGAGAGAAGTAGTCCATTGGTAACATTTCATCCTTGTAAGCTTTGAATCTAACTCTTTTTTCTCCTAGCATTATAGATATCGTGTTGTCACTCTGGGCCTCATACATCCAGTTGACAATATGAATTTACACTTCAATGTCAGCATGCACTCTCAACTTCTGGTACAACAGATTTAATAATGCTGGTAGCTAACTGTTTCATTGGTAATACTATCCAAATTCTACAGACCTGACAGAAACTTAAGAATTACTTTCAATTTGCCATCATTTTCAACAGAACCCCTCTTGAAGTACTCTATAGTTTTTCTTCTAGAGATAAAGCAGAGATGTGAACTGCGGCAAAGAATTCCTGGAATGTGAGATGAAGGAAGTTGTGATTCTAATAGCCACTGCCTTGGTCTCCTGGTAGTAGGAGGACCTTCAGTACCACTTGACGTAGATGCAATGCATGGAACTAGTGGCACTTGCAGCCACTGCTTGCTGACTAGGTGAATATGACTGGGGTGAGGGATCTAAGCACGTAAGCGCTTGCACAGATAGCTGGTGTGAGGGAACAAGGCTCTGTGGCAATTCATCAGTGATCGCTACAGTAGCAGAAGAAGACTGGCTTGGAGAAGGTAATTCTAGTGGACCGTGGGTTGATTGTATGGAAGCAAGAGGACTGGAGTTAGCATTCGGAGCTACAACATGTAATTGCTGCTGACCAGATGAATGATAAGGTGTTGTGGAGTCAGTAGACCTTAATGTGCCAACCGAGACTACTACAAGTTGGAATTGCGCACATGGGGTGTGTGATCAATAACTGAGACCAGATCATACCTAGAATGACTAGGAATCTGATGAAAAGATTGGTACTCGTTTTGGGGTAACAGAGGTTGAAACAGAGGATGAAAACCAGGCAGTTGGGAAACTCTTCCTATACTGGGCAGCAGAGTAGGCACATGCTGAGGATATTGGTACCCAGGAACACCAGGAACTGTAGGATATGGATAGGAACTGTTATTGTGAGTGAACAAAGCGACACCGGAAGATCAAACTCCCCATTTGTGAATAAAAGTCCCTTTTAAGTGCATTCAATGCAGGGAAGTCTGGATATGACACAATATTCCCATGCAGGCCTAGTTTCAAAGATAGCTAATGAAGATTAAGAACACTTCGAAAATCAACGAAAAACAATTCAAAATTGGTGTTTTGGTATTCTGACACATAATGTAGTCCTGGACCTGCTGTTCCTTTACAAAGCATTGTAATCTTCCCTTTACATAAACCCCTCTTTCCTGTCAGTCATTCTTGTATTATCAACTCACATACGTTTTTGTGCACAGCATACTGAGACACTACCAAAAAGAAAATTTTTTCTCTACTTCATAATACTTTGGACATCTCACAGCATATTTCTTAATATCCTTAGAGAGAGTCATTTCGTTTATGGATGAGTTTTGTGCTAAGGCCTGGACAAATTCACTAGCGACTCTTTCAAGAATGCCAACGATGCCCATCAAAGAAAACCGCTGCAGAGAGTGGTTCTTTAGGAGAGCTCGAGCCAGGGCAACTGCTCCCTCATCACCAATACTGTTCCTTGACAAGTTTAGGATCTGGAGAGTAGAGTTCTGATGAAGAGACTGAGCGAGGGCTATTGCTCCTTCATCACTAATACAGTTATCGAATAAGTCCAGTTCCAGAAGGGTAGAGTTACGATGAAGGGCTTGTGATAGAGATACTGCTCCGTTGCTACAATATTGTTATCTGCCAAATCAATCTTTATCAGGGAAGAGTTGTGATGAAGTGCCACAGCTAAGGCTGCTGCTCCACTATCACCAATACTGTTGTTCCCCAGACCTATAATCTTAAGGGTGGAGTTCTGATGAAGAGACTCAGCGAGGGCTACCGTTCCTTCATCACCGATACAGTTTGTGCCTAAATGCAATTCACGGAGTGTAGAGTTGTGACAAAGAGTGTGAGAGAGAGAGACTGCTCCACTCTCACCTATACTGTCACCGTATAATTGCAATTCACGGAGTGTAGAGTTGTGACGAAGAGTCTGAGAGAGAGAGACTGCTCCACTCTCACCTATACCGTTGTGGTTCAATTTCAGTACATAAATGGTGGAATTGCGATAGAGAGCCTTAACCAAAGACGTGAGACCATTTTTACTAACATTTAAGTCCAGTACTCTTGATCTGTATTTGTGTTGGAGAAATTCTGCAAGGACAGTTGTTCCATCATCAGTTAGTTCTCCAACATACTTAATAAAATCTGTCCTCATTGAATCGAAATACGAAGAGAATATTTGACTCAAGGCTTTCAAATCATCATCGGTAGTTAGTCTACATGCGGCTTCTACTACTGACTTCTCTTCAAGAGTGTGGTGGTGGTATACAGCCTCTAACAACTCCAGTAGTTTCTGCGAAGTAGGTACTACTTCTGGATTAAGGTACTGATTGAACTTAAGTGAAAATATCTTGAGGCAGTTTGTTGAGGCCAGATAACTGACAAGGTCCGTGCAGTCTTGATCTGTGACATGCCCCTCTACTGAAAAGGAAAACAGGTGAGATAGGTCTGGCCATGCCTTAGGTATCGTAATAACGGACAGTTCGTGAAGATGAAGAAGACTATTCCACTTAGCAAACAACACGTTGAAATTATTTTTTGGCAAATTTACAAGCATATCATCTCCAAGTTGGACAATTTTTCCTACACCATTTGATTCTATAGCACCATTAGCAAGTAGTATTATCTTCTCCAAAGTTAAAACAGTGCTCCTTCCAGTAAGAGACAAAACCCATTGGCACTGGCTGTGGGATATACAGTAACCGAGAGAGTAGAAGTCCATTGCCATCATTTGACTCGTTTTGGCCTTGAATTCTACTTTGCACTCTTCTAGGAGTAGGGAAATAGCAGTCTGACTCTGAGCCTCAAACAACCAGTTGACAACATCAACATCCACTGAAATGTTACAGGGTTTTTGATATTTACTACTAACCTGTGTTGAAGGAGACTCTAAAAGGAATTTTACAGTTTCTTGAGTAAAACAATCCAAATTGCATAGGCCAGCAAGAAACCTTAGCACTACATTTAACCAGCCTTCTTTCTTACCGCCACCGGTCTTACTCTTCTTAAAGTATTCCAGCTGTTGTTCTTCAGGCATAGTAGAGATGTGAACCGCAGCAAAGAATTCCTGGAATGTGAGATGAAGGAAGTTGTGAGACGAAGAAGTCTCTCCAGTCACATAGAGCTCAGTGACTGAGTCACATGAACCCAAGATTGTCAAAGTTGGTGGTAGTCAGACTCGCTGAAGATCAATCTCACTTCATCACTTTCACCTGGCATTCCATCAAAGTTGCCAGTCTGCACAGACGTAACCAAAATTCATGCACCTCACAGGGAACAGAGATATAATGGCAGCAAACTCTGCATACTTTTCTATCCAGCTTCAGCGTGGCCTTCAGATGTCGCACTTATTGATACAGTTACTAAGCAGTGATACAACGTTTCAGTTAGTGTGTTGGCATTGGATGATGATCTAGCCTACTTGCTATGTACACTTTACACAATGGCACTGTTAGAGGACTGTACATGCCACTTTGATCTGAGGATGTCTCTCCAGGTAGAATGGAAAACACTCACCTGGTGATCCGTAGGGACAGTCTTTCTGATGTACTCAGGTATCGACGTTTGGTAAAGCCCAGAACTCAATATGCTGGTATATCCGGTATTCATGGTGTTCTGCGTATATCCTTTGTGGCCCAAGGTCGACTGGTGATCTAGGCACAGACAATGGCAAGGAGGCAGCAACTCTCCAGAACATGAGCTCATTGAAATCGAAGAAGGGTCATGCGCGGACTATCGGAAAGCTCGTCATACCCCTCTAGAATGATGAGGTTGCATGAAAGTGTGAGAAGCCACAAGCTCACGACAGACAGCTTCAGACACACCAGGCAAAGAGGAGATATCAAGTGTTGTAAACGTCTTGCTTTCTGTTCCCTTTGTCTCTCAGCCTGAGCAGAAGAACAGATGATTAGCGTGCTTAGCACCTGTCCCTTTAACCACTCTACAAAACTCCCAAGCCAATGTAGATTTCTACGCCTGGGGCACCCTCCACTAGTATGAACCTTCTATCATCCTCTGCGTTCCGATCTGATTAGGCTCACTTAATGGGAGAGAAATGCGTTACAGCGCAATTTGACTAAACACTCACAATTGGCCCTTTTCTCTCTGTATTGTATCGACATTGCCATCCTGAATCATGGCATCGTTACATCTTCATACTCTCTACTCTTAACACATCTCCTGTCAATGCAAGCGAGGTTCACTGTACTCAACAGTGGGCGATAGGAGACCATTTCTATCTTTTTCTACATACCTTGGCACTGTACTTGCTTGCATATTGTATGAATGTTCAACCTTGACAGATCAGCAGTGGTTGGTATCTGCAACAGCAGAAGAGATTGACTGTGAGGACCGCTGGATGTCTTGCGTATCACGCACTGGTAACTGCTGTGGCTGGGAATAGATGGTTAGTGAGTAACTGTGGTTGAATGTGTTGTGATTGTGATGACCACTGCCTTGGTCTCTTGGTAACAGGAGGACCTTCAGTACTACTTGACGTAGATGCAATGCACGTAGAACTAGTAGCACTTGCAGCCATTGCTTGCTGACTAGGTGAATATGACAGGGGTGAGGGATTTAAGCGTTTAAGCGCTGGTACAAATAGCTGTGTGAGGGAGCAAGGCTCTGTGGCAATTCAGCAGCGATCGCTACAGTAGCAGAAAACTGGGTTGGAGAAGGTAATTCTAGTGAACCTTGGGTTGATTGTACGGAAGCAAGAGGACTGGAGTCAACATTTGCTGCTACGACAGATAATTGCTGCTGACCAGGTGAATTAGATGTTGTGGAATCACTAGACCTTAATGTGGCAACCGAGACTGCTATAGTTTGAGATTGTGCATATGGGGAATAAGTGTGATCAACAACTGGGCCTTGACCATACCTAGAATAACTAAAAGGAATCCCAAAAGATTGAGACTGGTTCCGAGGTAACAGAGGCTGAAACTTAGGTTGAAAACTTGGCTGTTGGGAATATGTTCCCGTACTGGGCTGCATATTAGGAACATGCTGATGATAGGGGTGCCCAGGAACACCAGGAATTGTAGGAGGCATGGTTGAAATGAATAGACTATGATGTGATCCTGGAAAACACCAATAAGGAAAAGGCTGCTGCAGCTGCAGTGGTCGCTGTATTTCGTTGAGAATGGTGTACTGCTGAGATGTATTCTGGCTTAAAGAAGGAGGCGGGTTAGACTGAGGGTGCTGCTGCAATTGATTATCTGGAGGATGTTCATAGGCAGGGGGCTGAATGTTTACAGGCAACTGTGGAGTTTGAGTATTACCTGAAGGTTGTTGTACACTTGCATCTCCTGAGGACATTGGCTGCACTGATGGAGGAGGTAATGGGGGGTATTGGGGCATAGACAATGGTGCAGTAGATACAGCTCCAGAATGTGAATGAAAAGGGCTTAGTTGAGCAGTAGTACCAGCTGCCAGAGATTTATCTACACTCAGTTGAGAAAAAGATCTCTTACCAGTCAGATTTCTACCAGGCGGAAGCCGGGGAGAAAGAATATGTCGGAGAGGCTGAAGCTGAGGGTGCAAAAGTGATGGATGATTCGTGGTACCATAGTTGATATGGGAACCGCTGTACATATGTTGACGATACATTTGGTAATGAGGATCTAATTGTGGAGGGATGTGGTAAGATTGATGAGAGAGTGGTTGTGATGTAGCCAAGGATACACTGTTAAAAATATGGTGTTATCTAACACCCCATTTTCTGTACCAAAACTGGCAGGGTGTATTGGAGCACCTAAGGGGTGTTCATTACGCGTAAGTAGGTGTTTACTAACACTCTTGGGGTGTAGAGTAAACCATGGCACATTCTAGTGCTCACCACAACACCTAAGGGTGTTACACTGACCCAGCACCTATATCACAACTTCCTTTCTATGCCTTGTGCATTGTTGTTTAATAATAATTATTGTTCATAGGACGCATTGTCAGAAAATTTCTTCATCCCATATCACATTCTCTTCACTGTTTTATTATTGTTATTGTTTCACACACCGGTAGGTGCAAGAAAGTAATTAAGAAGAATTGATGATGGATATAAAATTTGATCCTCATAAGGAGAGTGAATACCATGAAGATGTCTTTAAAAAAATATTGTGCTGGAGACATTGTGCATCATAGTCAATGTAAATGAGAATGACAGTATACAGACGAGTCACACCCACTGCGCATGCGCGTCGAAGGTGTCTGCGCGTGCAGCGCAGCATGACCTTTACCATCCGGCACGCCCACGTACACCGGTGGTTAGTGAGATCATGTTCGCGCTCATTTTCAAATGCAAGTAGAAGTAGACTATCTCTATGGCTGTGTTTTTGGCGACTCAAGCTACAGTATTTAAAGGCTTTCTGGAGCCCAAGACCACCATCAGACGAATACCATGGCTACGAACGCCGCGATAGAAGATTTCGATGTAGCGTCACCCCGTCGAAGAAAACGTAAGGACTGATCATAGCTACGTAGCTGCTAAGACGGCACTGAATTGTTTTAGACTCCAGCTACTCCGAGCCCAGTATCACAGCCAGCAGCAGCAGCAGCACCAGCGATGGGTACTACAGCCTGGGTTAGTGCTTGGTGTTCCTGACGTTTTCTCCAGACGGACGCGTGAGGGAATTGAGAAAGGAGAGAGTAGGAGCGGCCAGCATGTATTTAGATAACTTTGTTACTTCCAGTACCAGTATGGCAGTCGAGGGGAGGGAAGATCAGAACAGTAGGGCTGAAAGTGAGTCATGCAATCGGTATTTTCAATGCTTTCAGATGTTGGTATTTCTTCATAATAATATTATGAAGAGGAATTTAAAAGGCCATATAGGAGTTGAAATTGCTGAAGAAATTGGCAGGATTTATTGATATCTGCCAAGATTGGTATAATTATATCTTTGCAGAGTTGGAGTCACAAACCAATAGGGATGCCCTTTCAAAGCAGCAGGAAGAAGTCAATTCATTTCCTCCTGATGCATAATGATGAGCATACATGGTACTGTACACTTCCTTCTCATATTTCAAGTTGGTCAAGTGAGTGTGAAAATATAATTTATATGCCAGTATGTATAGTTGTATTGGAGGTGCATGCATACATCTTTCTTCCCACTTCACAGGATTGCAGCTGCTGCATTCTTTGGAGCTTACTGCTGTAAGTCAACATTATATATAATATCATGTACATAACTATGGACGAACTGTTGTTATAGAATGAGCCTGACCTTGATGAGGCTGTGAAGAAAATCACTGAAAACCATGGTTACATCTCTGTGGTTACTTCTGACAAAAGGACTCTAGCATCATTTAAACAATAGAAATTTTATCTTATGCTCTTTACTGTATCATTGCTCTTTGTATCTCATGCTCTTTTACTGTGAAATATTTTTGTCACTTCAACAGTAAGAGCAATGGCGCTACTGCAACAACGAACAGCGCTCTAAAGCACCAACCGCGTGTTGTCGAACACCCTATGAAATGTTTATGAACACCCCAAAGGGTGTATTGTAGCATCAATAGAAAGGCTAAATAGCACTCTTATGGGTGTACATCACCCCAGAAAGGGTGTTCCTGTACACTCTTATGGGTGTACATTACCCCAGAAAGGGTGTTCCTGTACACTCTTATGGGTGTACATTACCCCCAGAAAGGGTGTTCCTGTACACTCTTATGGGTGTACATTACCCCAGAAAGGGTGTTCCTGTACACTCTTATGGGTGTACATTACCCCAGAAAGGGTGTTCCTGTACACTCTTATGGGTGTACATTACCCCCAGAAAGGGTGTTCCTGTACACTCTTATGGGTGTACATTGCCCCAGAAAGGGTGTTCCTGTACACTCTTATGGGTGTACATTACCCCAGAAAGGGTGTTCCTGCACACTCTTATGGGTGTACATTGCCCCAGAAAGGGTGTTCCTGCACACTCTTATGGGTGTACATTACCACACAAAGGGTGTTCCTGTACACTCTTATGGGTGTACATTACCCCCAGAAAGGGTATTCCTGTACACTCTTATGGGTGTACATTACCGCCAGAAAGGGTGTTCCTGCACACTCCTATGGGTGTACATTACCCCAGAAAGGGTGTTCCTGCACACTCTTATGGGTGTACATTACCCCCAGAAAGGGTATTCCTGTACACTCTTATGGGTGTACATTACCCCCAGAAAGGGTGTTCCTGTACACTCTTATGGGTGTACATTACCCCCAGAAAGGGTGTTCCTGCACACTCTTATGGGTGTACATTACCCCCAGAAAGGGTGTTCCTGCACACTCTTATGGGTGTACATTACCCCAGAAAGGGTGTTCCTGTACACTCTTATGGGTGTACATTACCCCAGAAAGGGTGTTCCTGTACACTCTTATGGGTGATGGTTAACACCAACCCTAACACCC